AGATTTTTAGACAGCTTCCCCCAAAACTCGATACAGGTATTTACCCTAAAAACACATCATGTTTATTATCAAAATATATCCTAATTTTACAATGGACTCAATGGGCTTTATATAATAGTTGCACCTCTTAACTAACTTGGAAAGCAAGCACTTGATACACGTAATTAAAAACTGACTCAGTCTATCTAAGGAAACAAAAAGTACTAGTTTTGATGGATACATCGCCGGCTTCAGTTTTGGTGCTGGTGGACCCCATCCAATTTCCTGGAGACATAGTAGACTCCATATATCCCACGTGTGTGCACTTGCTTGATATTCCTTACGTGGCAGGAAAAGAAATAGAACTCTACCATTTATCTTCTTGACCAATCCCAAAACATCAGGTAATATATTTTCTGTTTTATCTCTAACAAACGACTCCTTTCGTGGATTTGCCTTCACAAGATCTTGATGGAACCACGTACTGCCATGCACCCAAGTAGTACTAGAACATGTAGTCTTAGATGAACCAAAAATAATATTAGTCCATGTGTAAATTGTTCCAACCAATTTTTGTACTTGATGCACTTTTGTATCTTCATGCCCAGTTTGTATCTTCTGTTCGATTGTGCCCAAGTCAGCGTATACTTTCCTAAAGTGGCATGTGTCATTCTTGCATGTGATCAACACCAAAGACTCGACCTCCTTGTTACCTTCACTAAACTGAAATATTTTAGGCTCATGTATATCTGTGATCTGATGCGATACAACATTACATGTCGTCATATCATCCTCTCCTCCTTGCATCAAAAACGTCCTCGGATTTGAGTTGACCTCTTGAGCAATATTTTCTTCACTCGATTGAATAACAACCACAGAAATTTCAGCAACTTGGGCCTTCTTCTTTTCTTCTTCTTCTTGCTCTTTTATCCTCTCAAGATGTTATTTCCTCCAAGAAATAAAACTCTCCTCACCCATTGGCATGAGGCTGCACTTCTTACCCCTCTTGAAGGTATATCTGTGTGTTTTGCAATCGTACGCGACATCATGCTCTTTGTACCATGGCTCACCCAATAACAAGTGACATGAAATCATCGATGCCGGAATCACGTCGCACAAAACCTCGCAAAAATAATTTTCCAACAAAAATGGTACCTTTGTTTGTTGCGTGATAGTGAGCTCTTCATGACCCCAACGGAAACAGTATGGTTGTGGACGTAGTGTCATTGGTAGATTCAGCTTCTCCACCATCTTGATGCTTGTGGTGTTGATCGAATTCATGTGATCGATCGTCATGGCACATGATCTCTCTCTCACCACCACACGGGTGTGAAAAAGCCCAGTCCAATGGCCTTCCTCTTCCAACTGAAATCCATAGCTTAACTTACTGAATAACGATGCGCTCGCCATCTTCTTCATAGTGTCGTGAACAACCTGATGCTCTGAATACCACCTGATAAAGACCGAACCTCGATGGCGAGATCTGATCCGTTGTTGCGGCCTAGCCTTTCACGACACTCCACCACCAGCAGTAGCAACCTCTCGCCCGCGCACGCGATGTACACGAAATAGAACTTGCGGCTCATCACGAGAAAACCAATCTCGACAACGATACTCACGCGCAAAACAATTTCCTCGCAGAGAAATCGCAACACAGAGGTTTTCTAAAGCTTCCTCAAAACTTAGGGATTTTTAGACAGCTTCCCCCAAAACTCGATACGGGTATTTACCCTAAAATACATCGTGTTTATTATCAAAATATAACCTAATTTTACAATGGACTCAATGGGCTTTATATAATAACCGCACCTCTTAACTAACTTGGAAAGCAAGCACTTGATACATGTAATTAAAAACCGACTCAACCTATATAAGGAAACAAAAAGTACTAGTTTTGATGGATGGATGCATCGCCGGCTTCGGTTTTGGTGCTGGTGGACCCCATCCAATTTCCGGACATAGTAGACTCCATATATCCCACGTATGTGCACTTGCCTGATATTCCTTACATGGAAGGAAAAGAAATAGAACTCTGTCATTTATCTTCTTGACCGATCCCCAAACATCAGGTAATATATTTTCTATTTTATGTCTAACCAACGACTCCTTTCGTGGATTTGCCTTCACAAGATCTTGATGGAACCACGTACTGCCATGGACCCAAGTAGTACTAGAACATGTAGTCTTAGCTGAACCAAAAATAATATTAGTCCATATGTAAATTGTTCCAACCAATTTTTGTACCTGATGCACTTTTGTATCTTCATGCCCAGTTTGTATCTTCTGTTCGATTATGCCCAACTCAGTGTATACTTTCCTAAAGTGGCATGTGTCATTCTTGCATGTAATCAACACCAAAGACTCGACCTCCTTGTTACCTTCACTAAACTAAAATATTTTAGGCTGATGTATATCTGTGATTTGATGTGATACAACATTACATGTGGTCGTATCAGGCAGGGCACCCCAAGAGGGGAAGAAAAAGAATCGTTAAGGCTAGACACAACTAGAGGAAAGCCAGATTTACGGCGTCTCCCTCATGAGCATAATGAGACCTAGCCACAGACAGCATGTAGGGCTATTACCGGATGATGTTTCCCGGGGCCCTAAGCTGTCTAAATCTTTGTCTTGTGTGTTGCGTCTCTCGTCCCGATCAACCCCTCTCAAGCTACCACATAGATGCGTTGGCCTCACGACTAAGTCCTCACACTAGGACGTCTGCCGTGACGTTTCCACGACACTCTCCTTTCCCCTTTCCACCTCCGTAAGAAGGAAAAAAGAGGGGAGGTCGAATTCTACTAGGACTCCCCCCTCCCTTGGCGCGCCCCTGGTGGCCGGCCTCCTCCTCCCTCCTTTATATACGGGGGCAGGGGGACACCCCAAAGACACAACATTGTCTTAGCTGTGTGCGGTGCCCCCCTTCCACCGTTTACTCCTCCGATAGTATCATCGTAGTGCTTAGGAGAAGCCCTACGCGGATCACATCATCATCACCGTAAGCACGCCGTCGTGCTGACGAAACTCTCCCTCGACCCTCTACTGGATCAAGAGTTCGAGGGACGTCATCGAGTTGAATGTGTGCTGAACTCGGAGGTGCCGTACACTCGGTGCTAGATCGGTTGGATCCTGAAGACGTTCGACTACATCAACCGCGTTAACATAACGCTTCCGCTTTCGGTCTACGAGTGTACGTGGACACACTCTCCTCCTCTCGTTGCAATGCATCTCCTAGATAGATCTTGCGTGATCGTAAGAAATTTTTGAAATTGCATGCTACGTTCCTCAATAGTTGTTGTGTATGGGAGTAAAGAGGACTTGATACTTAATGCTATGATTGAGTTTTACCTTAATGATCTTAGGTATTTATGAATGCTTGCTAGAGTTCCAATAATAAGTGCATATGATCCAAGTAGAGAAAGTATGTTAGCTCATGCCTCTCCCTCATATAAAATTGCAATAATGATTACCGGTCTAGTTATTGATTGCCTAGGGACAAATAACTTTCTTGTGATAAAAAGCTCTCTACTAAAACTAATTTAATCATTTCTTCATCTAAACAGCCCTACCTTTTATTTACGTGTTCTTTATTGTCTTGCAAACCTACCCCTTTACACCTACAAACTACTCTAGTTTCATACTTGTTCTAGATAAAGCGACGTTAAGTGTGCGCAGAGTTGTGTCGGTGGTCGATAGAACTTGAGGGAATATTTGTTCTACCTTTAGCTCCTCGTTGGGTTTGACACTACTACATATCGAGAAAGACTACAATTGATCCCCTATACTTGTGGGTTATCAAGACCTCGCCTACTAGAAGCACACGGTTCGATCTGCCCCAGGCCCTGACCTGGCCCACCCGAGCACAAACCATATATCTGAACCTGCTGCCGGCACACATCTAGGAGAAGGAGGTCGCCACCGCCCCCTCGCAGCATGTAGACCCAAACACTGATCTGACCCAAGAGGAGGGAAGGCGCCACAACCGCCCCGCGCGGCAAGAATGGCCATGAGAGACACGTCGCACAGGCACCACCTGCCCGCCCCACCGCTCCAACCCGCTGCCGCGCCCGAGGACCCGCCCACGGTCAGAGACCCGCCGCTGGAGGCAGCCACCACCGTCGGGAGACAGAGCAGCAGCCATCGGCCCTTGCCGCCACAACCCCCGCCGCCTGTCGACCAGATCTGGCCGTCGTGCCCAGGCACGCTCTGCCCGCCATGCAGCCCATCGCGATGCAGTCTTCCCAGTCTGCCGCCACTGCAAGGCACCGCCTTCACACAGGAGTGACGTCACGCCATGGTGCCAACACCAGCACTGCGCTCGACCATGGAGAGACCAGACGTCGAAGCCCCCACACGCGTGAGGACGCTAAAGCCCCGTTGGAGTCGGTGTTGAACGGGCTTTGCCCAGCCGCGCCCCCTAGCGGTGGTGAGGGGAGGAGGGGGAGACCGACAGCGGGATCTGGGGTCGCCCTCCCGTTGCCTCGCGGGCGCGATGAGGGAGAGGAAGGGCGTTACCCTAGCAAACTTCCCATAGAGACAATGTAAGCCAATGTTTGAAGCAGGCGGTGTATGGAAAGGGTGAGCTCAGAGGTGACGTGATCAAGCCACACATTGGTGACACGCCTTTTAGGACGAGACGTGGTTCAAGATGGCATTAGCATTTTCTTTCTTTAATGTCCGAATTTGTCCAAACATGTAAAGCTATTCAGTGCATGCCCGAATTTGTCCAAACATGTAAAGCAATTCAGTGCATGCCTGTCAAGCCACGAGCATCCACAGTTTACTACTGTTTTTTTTTTCTAAAAAAGGATTGGCCAAAACGTGCTTCTCCTGATGAGATAGACGGCCGTTTGCATGAACCAATCAAGCAAAGACGAACCACATGAAGCGAAACGTGAAGGCTGGGGACAGGGCAAGAGCCGAGCAGAGCAGGCATCGGTGGATCAACGGAAGGAAGAAGGCACCAGTCATGCGAATCCGCTGCTTCACCAGCTATATTAACCGTCTCCCGAAAGCAAAGACGAATGGATCTTAACTTCAGTAGTACAGCAAGATCAGCAGCATTAGCAGCAGCAGCAGCAGCAATGCAGGACGCCGCGCACGACCCCAGCGCCGCCACCTTCTACTCCACCGCCGCCGGCCTCTACGCCAGCACCCACCCGCCCGTCCCGCTCCCCTCCGACCCCGGTCTCTCCCTCGTCCCGCATATCTTCTCCCGCCTCCCCCTCGGCCCGCCGCCGCATTCCCCGCCGTGCCTCCTCGACGCCGCCACCGCCGCCTCCCTCTCGCGCGCCGACCTCCGCCGCCTCGTCTCCTCCCTCGCGCACGGCCTCCGCCGAGCCCACAACATCCGCGCCGGCGCCGTCGTGCTCCTCGTCCTCCCCAACTCCGTCGCCTTCCCCGTCGCCTTCCTCGCCGTCCTCGCCGTCGGTGGCGTCGCCACCACCATGAACCCCTCCAGCTCCCGCGCCGAGATCGCCGACCGCCTCCGGGACACCGCCCCGTCCCTCGTGCTCACGTCGCCCGAGAACGCCGAGAAGCTCCCGCGCTCCGCCGCCCCGGTCGTCCTCGTGCCGGAGACATTCCATCGTACGCCCTCGGCGGGCCACGAGTTCGCGCCCTTCCGCGCGCTGCTCGATTCCGACGCCGACGACTTCCCGTCGGCGGAGGTTGGCCAGGAGGACGCCGCCGCCGTCCTCTACTCCTCGGGGACCAGCGGACGGAGCAAGGGCGTCGTGCTCACGCATCGCAACCTCATAGCCATGGTCGAGCTCTTCGTGCGCTTCGAGGCGTCGCAGTACGCGCGACCTGCTTGTGACAATGTCTACCTGGCCGCGCTGCCCATGTTCCACGTCTACGGCCTCTCCCTCTTCGCCGCGGGCCTCCTCTCGCTCGGCTCCACCGTGGTGATCATGAGGAGGTTCGACGTCGGCGAGGCCGTCAGGGCCATCCACAGGTACAAGGTCACGCACTTGCCGCTAGTGCCGCCCATCATGGCGGCGCTGCTGAGGGCCAAGTCCACAGGCGCCTCGTCATTGGACTCCTTGGTGCAGGTCTCCAGCGGTGCAGCTCCACTCAGCGGCAAACTCGTTCAAGACTTTATCAAGGCTTTCCCACACGTCGATTTCATTCAGGTAAGCCTACCAAATTTCAATCGTTTGTAGTATTCTGAGAAACATAGGTTGGTGAAGGCAAACAATTGTTGTAGTCCAGGTGTCCATGACAAAATGCTAGTTGCCTCGTAACGCATACACTGGAGCGTTTGTCCCATCTACGAAGACTACTTACTATACGCGTTTTCGAGTTGCATATTCTGAGTATAAAGTAATGGTATTGTTACGTGGCGAACGTCAAATGGGAAGGAATAACAGTATTGTTACGTGGCGAACGTCAGTTTGGAAGGGGTGACATGCAAACGTTTTTTATGACAAGTTTGCGTGGTGGGAGATGGCAAATTCTCCCCTTTTGCAGCAAACTTTTCTTCTTTCCAGAAGTTATGTTTCTGAAGAAATTGCCATCCTCCCACTACGTAAATTGCTAGTCAAAATGTTCGCAATTGCCACCCCTTCCCAGCTGACGTTCGCCAGATAAGAGGGTAATAAAATAATGTAGTGATAATATTTAATCATATGCCTTGTTGCTGATATGTGATGAATAATACTCAAGTCTATTACATAGGTATATCCATTCATGTATGTTGGTCCTTTTGTTTTATCACCTTAAAGTTCAGCCTACCAATTTTCTGCAGATGAAGATGCAGTTGATTTGACTTTGCAAACATTACAGACATGTATGTGCATATTTTAGATGGGATAACCAAGTAGGGATTTACTAGTTTAAAACGAACTTTCTAAACAATTAATACTTCTGCAATCAAGCAGTGAAACTATTACTGCAGTTCCAGTTCCAGTTCGTTTGCAGTATTCTGAGTGAACTGCTATTTTTTATGCAATTTGAACACTGAAAGTTAGCAGTGTGATTCGAAGTTACCCATTCCAATTGCCTGCAATATTCCGAGTAAATAGTTGCAATGTAATCACTGAAATAGACTGCTCCAGTTCCAACTGCTTGTAATATTCTGAGTAAATGTTTACACTTTGAACAGGGCTATGGCATGACAGAATCTACTGCTGTGGGAACTCGTGGTTTCAATACCTCGAAGCACAAGAAGTATGCATCTGTAGGTCTTTTAGCCCCAAACATGCATGCCAAAATTGTTGATCTGGAGACTGGCTTATGTTTACCTCCTGGCTCTTGTGGGGAGTTATGGCTCCATGGGCCAGCTATAATGAAAGGTAACATTTCATGAGCCCAACTCAGCCACTGCAACGAAAACACACACCTTGAATTTTGGCATTTGTAGTCTGATGCAAACCAATGTCTAGTTAAAAAGATCACTTCAAGTGACTTGAGTATTCCTTAAAAACAAATTGACTTGCCTTTACTTAACTCACTGCTGAGGTGGTTATTGAAGACCCTATGAAGACTTGACATATGCATTGTCTCTGCATTTTCTGCCATTCTTTTTCAGCTCACTTAGAAAATAAGATCATTCTTTGTGCTTAACATGATTTTTTCGTCCTCTTAATGGTTATTTTTATACAACTCCCTTGTGTCTATGATATGGGTACTCCTTATCATTGTAATGCTTAAGTATCTAATTATGCTACAAAAGAATTGATTTATACTGGCTTTACTATGCTATGTGATTATTTTTCTCTTTAGAAACGTAAACAGAATCAGCTCTCTGGTCTAGTCTTTAACAATATGGGCTGCGCCGCGGCTGCTACCATTCAGCCTGAATTACCTATACTGTATCCAATATTTTCTCATTTATATTAGGGTCCTCGAAAAATTCTTTTCACAGGTTACTTGAATGATGAGATGTCATGCACGAGAACGGATGGCTGGTTGCAGACTGGTGACCTTGCTTACTTTGATTCAGATGGGTACTTGTACATAGTGGGCCGTTTGAAAGACACTATCAAGTACAAAGGATTTCAGGTATGCCTTCATGTAGCACCATCCTTGTGTGCAAGAAATTATTGGTTATAACAAATTACCACTCTGAATATCAGATAGCTCCAGCTGACCTTGAAGCAGTTTTGGTCCAGCACCCTGAAATTGTTGATGTTGCTGTGACGTCGTAAGTTCTAAAACCGTTAGATAAGTATTACGTTGGTTGAACTTATCTGTCGGCATGGAACTGAACCTTTTTCTTTTGCTTTTCTCGACTTGCATATAGTGCTGAAGATGAAGAAGCTGGAGAGATACCAGTAGCTTTCGTGGTGAGGAGATCTGGAAGCCGTCTAACCCGTGTGCAAGTGATGGAGTATGTGGCCAAGCAGGTAAAAAGATGCTTCGACATTGCACAGCACAGCACATCACCACTCTTCTGCTTCCTTCCTTGAAACCGACGTGTCATAATAACAGTAGTATGACGCATCCTTTTAATCATAAAATTTCCAGTCCAATCGAACATGACAAACATTCTAAGGAATCCTGAGATATCAGTGGTTGTCAAGACAGTTTCCATGAGTGATTGCTGTGCATGCTCCCCACCTGTTCTGACTCGCTGTACGGATGGAAACGCATACTCACTAACATGAGGTCAGGTTGTTTGGCACACATGCCATTCTATACTCCCAAGCTAGTGGCGTATACTAGGTCAGGCTGGCATGCACTCCTCCCCCATCTCTTTGTCGACTCACCAATGGAACCCATGATCCGTTCAAGAGTGATGCGCGGTGCTGGACAAAATACAGGAGCTCGGCTGTTCCTGAGCGACCTTGTCTGGCAGGAAGAGAGACGTTCAAGGAAAGATTGCGGCAGGAATTTGTTGTTTCTTCTTGACCATGTCCAAGTAGTGAGATAGGACTAGTGGTTTATTACACCGAAAATTTAATCACTTGCGATTCTGTAGACAGTAAAAGATTTTCCTTTTTCTTTTGCTGAAGCTGCGAATTGATCTGATGATGGTGGGTGCAGGTGTCCCCGTACAAGAAAGTTCGCAAGGTGATATTCGTGGAGGCAATACCCAAGTCAGCTGCTGGCAAGGTTCTTAGAAGGCTTCTCAAGGACTCTCTGCGCCTTGATGCTGCTGCTTCCCGTTCAGATCACACCAAACCCAGTTCAAGACTGTAAACGGAGTCGAGCAGCTTCCATCGAAATGGATGAAATACATGTTTTAGCTGCTGTATGTCTTTTTGTGTGTGATATGTTGGTTCACCAGGGATTGGGATTGCTCGTGATCGCATACTAGCAGTACCATACCATGCTCCCATAGGATGTGTGTGAGTCCGTCAATGGAATACATGTCATTCGTCAGGAAAGACTGTTGATTGGAACACCATTTCGTATCCAAGCTGAAAGCTTTTGTCATGAACTTTAGTGATCAGAATCAGCAGCGACGAACTTGGGTCATCACCTTGTTGAAGGTGCCGTCTACTGGTCTTTATTGGCTGGTATCACCAAACAGGATGAAAATCCTTGCCTAGGCCTTCTTCGGTCAGACATGGTGACAGTGGCGCACGGGCGTTTATTCCTTGTTGAAAGCCTTGTTGCGGAGAGGTCAATTTAGTCATAGGAGTTTTTTTTTCATATCTCAATTGATTCTTGTTTTTTAGGGGGTTGATTGATTCTTGTGATGGATGTGTGGTTCTTCTGGAGGCAGCAACGTGGAGCTGCTAAAATGGAACTCGAGTGGTTTCATTGTATAATATAGCAACAAAATGAGAACTCTCGAAGAGGGAATATGCGGCCATTGGATGGAATGTGCTGCTGGCATTGTGATGCATTTGTTTTGCATTAGTAGATTGACATGTTCAGCTAATTAATTCAATGCCAACCAACCAACGAACTGCGTGTATCCATACACCTTGCCTGCTTAATTAGGCAGGCATCTGTGACGATCGGTTCTTCATATCTTCTGGAGAGAACGTGAATATGTAAACAGTAAATTTCACTTTGTGCATCTGAAAATGACACAAGTGGCAAGCAATTACTCATTTAAAGATATACTGAATTGCCATGACGTAGCAATTGAACGTTTCTTATGAAACTAACTGTAGAATATGTGAATTGCACGATGTATTGCTCTTCGTGCATAGGCACATATATATGAGTACAAAGGAGGGCCACGGACCTCAACTATACAGGGACTAGGAGGCGGACCCAATACACAGTATACACAGATCATATATACTCAACATCCCCCCGCAGTCGAAGCGGCACCACGGCTGACGCAAAGACTGGACCGGAACTCCTCAAATGACGCCGTAGGCAGGCCCTTGGTCATGATATCGGCAAGTTGTTGGGAAGTAGGGACGTGTAAAACACGAATATGGCCAAGGGCCACCTGTTCCCGAACAAAATGAATATCCAACTCAATATGCTTGGTCCGTCGATGATGCACCGGGTTAGCGGAGAGGTAGACCGCCGAAACGTTGGCCACCGTGGCACGGTCAACAGGGCAAGAGAGCTCCTGAAGCCACCGTGGCACGGTCAACAGGGCAAGAGAGCTCCTGAAGCCACCGTGGCACGGTCAACAGGGCAAGAGAGCTCCTGAAGCAGCTGGCGAAGCCACGAACACTCGGCGACGGCGTTGGCCACCGCACGATACTCAGCTTCAGCACTGGAACGAGAGACAGTAGGCTGCCGTTTGGACGACCACGAGATAAGTGAGGGTCCAAGGTAGACACAATACCTCGAAGTGGAGCGACGATGTCAGGGCAGCCCGTCCAGTCTGCATCGGAGTAGGCGGTGAGGGCGGTGTCAGCGGAGGCGTGAAGCGTGACGCCAAGGTCCATAATGCCACAGATATAGCGGAGAACCCGCTTGACGGCAGCCCAGTGAACGTCTCGAGGAGCATGCATATGAAGACACACCTGCTGCACGACATACTGTATCTCTGGCCGAGTCAGAGTGAGGTACTAGAGAGCACCAATGATAGAACGATAGAAAGCAGCATCCGAAGCAGGAGAACCATCCGTGGCAGAAAGCTTGGCCTTCGTATCAACAGGCGTAGCGGCGGGCTTGCAGTTAAGCATGCCGGCGCTCTCAAGGAGCTCGTGAGCGTACTTCCGCTGATGAAGGAATAAGCCATCCGTACGGCGCAACACCTCGACACCGAGGAAGTAGTGCAAAGGACCCAAGTCCTTGATGGCGAACTCAGCGCGAAGACGAGCCGTGAGCTGACTGAGGAGACCAGTTGTACATGCCGTCAGGATGATGTCGTCGACATAGAGCAGCAAGTAGGCCGTGTCAGAGCCCCGATGATAGACGAAGAGCGAGGCGTCCGAGCGGGTAGAGCGGAACCCAAGCTGGTGAAGAAATGCCGCGATGCGCTAGTACCAAGCGCGCGGCGCCTGCTTGAGTCCGTACAAGGACCGCGAAAGCAGGCACACGTGGTCGGGAAGTGCCGGGTCAACAAACCCGGTGGGCTGCTGGCAGAAGACCTGCTCCTCGAGGTGACCATGGAGGAAGGCGTTGGAGACGTCCATCTGGTGCACCAGCCAAGCACGGAAGACCGCAAGGTGGAGAACCGTGCGTATCGTATCGGGCTTGACGACCGGAGCGAAGGTGCCGGTGAAGTCGATGCCAGCACGCTGTCGAAAGCCACGAACGACCCATCACGCTTTATAGCGATCAAGGGTACCATCATGACGGAGCTTGTGTTTAAATACCCACTTCCCGGTAATCACGTTGGCGTGCCGGGGACGGGGAACAAGCTGTCACGTCTGATTGCGCAGCAGTGCGTCAAACTCCTCTTGCATCGCAGCCATCCAGAGCGGGTCAAGAAGAGCGGCTCGAACGGAGGACGGCAAAGACGACGGCTCAGAGATGGATGTCGGATGGACGTAGTCATCCGAGGCGTAACACGAGCTTGGGTGAAAAACGCCCGTACGGGCATGGGTGACCGGACCGGCCACGGGGGACGGGAGGGGCACTGGTGGCACCGAGGGGGCCGCGGGTGCCGAGGGGACCGCCGGCATCGGGGGGCCGCGGGCGCCATCACCGGGGGGCACGCCTCAAACCCAGGGGGCGGGCCAAGAGAGGCGCGCGAGCCCCCTGTGAGAGGCGTCGAGGAGCCCGCGTCACCGGTGGCGGGAGGAACAGCCGGGGGTACCTGGTGAAACGGAAACACATGCTCATCAAAGTAAACATGCTGGGAAGTGAACACACGGTGGGAGACGGGATCGTAGCACTGATATCCCTTGGAGGTAGTGGGGTAGCCGATGAAGATGCAAGCAACAGAACAAGGTGCGAGCTTGTGAGGAGCGGAGTCGGTAGTGCTAGGATAGCAAAGGCACCCGAATATACGCAAACCATCATAAGAGGGTGGCGTACCGAACACGAGGTGATGAGGTGCAAATTTCCACCGTGGTCGGCAAGGTCGAATGTTAAGGAGAAGGGATGCAGTAGCAAGCGCGTCCGGCCAGAAGCGTGGCGACACGTTAGCATGAAACAGGAGCGTGCGAACGCAGTCGTTCAGAGTGCGAAGGACGCGTTCGGCTCGACCGTTCTGCTGGAAAGTGTACGGGCATGTGAGGCGGAAAACTGTGCCATGATGCGACAAAAAGATGCGGAAGGCGAGGTTGTCGAACTCTTTTCCATTGTCCGTCTGAAACGCAAGGATGGGACGCCCAAACTGTGTGCGGACATAGGAGTAAATTAAAAGCCGTCAAGGTGGAGAGCGCATCTGACTTTCTACACAAAGGAAAAGTCCACACGTAATGAGAATAATCATTAAGAATGACTAGATAATATAAATAGCCCGAATTACTAGAAACTGGAGAGGTCCACATCGCTATGAATCAACTGAAAAGGAAAAGAAGCAATGGTGGTGGAATTATTAAACGGCAGATGAACATGTTTGCCGACTCGACAAGCATGACAAGTGTGATCCTCAATCTTAGTGAAACTGAAACTGAAACTCTTAAGAATATGACGAAGTGTGACGGGGTTGGGATGACCCAAGCGAGCATGCCAGAAATCGACGCCAACAGAGAGAGCCACCGGTGCGGCGGTGGTGGAAGAAGACGGATGCACCGGATAAAGCTCGTCGGGGCTGTCACAGCGGTGGAGTACCATCCTGGTTCGAGCGTCCTTGACACAAAAACCAATGCCGTCAAATTCAACAGTAACAGAATTTTCACGAGTGAAACATTTAACAGAAACAAGGTTCTTAATAAGATCAGGAGACACAAGTATGTTAGACAAGGATAAAGGTGTGGAAATAGAAGGAAAAGAAGTGTGCCCAACATGTGTGATAGGAAGTGTGGAACCATCACCGACAATGATGCGGCGGTGGGTGAAGACAGAAGTGAAAGAGGCAAGGTTACCAGGATGAGCAAACATGTGAGCCGTAGCACCAGTGTCCATGTACCAAGCAGCATCGCCAGTGTAGTTGTTCGGCGTAGAAGCGGCACGTAGCGCGGTGTCCCAGGCCGCCGGCGACAGGGCCGGCAAGGAGGACGGAGACGCCACGGAGAAACCGTAGCCGCTTCTCAGTTGCGACGGTGGGTACTCTCCATACAGCTGCGGAGCCGCGGAGTACGCATGATGCGCGGGCGAACGCGGCACGGGAAGCGTCGGTGCAGGAACGACACCAGTCCATGGCTGCTGCAGGTGCTGGACGCCATCTGGCTGCTGCCCAGCGGGCAAGTGCTGGCCCGCTGACAACCCCCACCAGTACCCGGTAGACCCATACACGGACGGAGCCCCATATGTTCCATATGTAGGATACCCGTACGTGGGAACGTATTGAGGCGGCACCGGCCGTGGAGCGACGACGGACTGGCAGGAAAGCGCCGACGGTAGCGGGGCTGCACCGTAGGACACAGGCGACAGAGCTGTGCCATAGGGCCCGTAACGGGACTGGCCAGAGTGCGCCAGCGGCGGCGGGGCCGCACTGTAGGACGTCGGCGATAGAGCCGCGTCAAAGGAAAACATCGGCACGATGGCAGAGGCGACGACTGACGGGCCGGACGCGAAAGACGTGATAGACGACATGGCCCCGACGGGAGCAGCAGCTTCGGGTGCAACGGCGGCTGGCGAGGCGCTGGCGAACAGGGAGCTGGATGGATTTCATTTTTTGTCCAAAAGGACCCCCTGGCCAACAGAATTGCCAAAAAAGACCACAT